ACCCAGATCCGACCCTTATTTCCCATCTTCCTGGTAAAGTAAGAGGAAATTAGAAGCGGGTCAAGACTTTTGCACAGTACTGTAGCGTCAAATCGAGTTTCACTGCAATCCACATCAGCCCACATGCATCCTCACCCAGAGAGTACATCTCCAGCTGCTGTCGCAGGCGGACCTTCTGCAGGCTGTCGTAGAAGTTGGGCTCCGGGCTGCTGCCCGCGGTGGGAGGCAGAGTGAAGATGCGCATGATCTTCCTCTTGTTTCTAAAGCGTACGTAAACAAACAGCGTCAGTCTGTGCTCGTTATCCGAAAACAACTAGGGGAACATCATCACCGAGCACACGGTTTGACCTGTAACATGTTAACCTGCCAAACCAGTTATTTACAGTCGTTATGAGGTAAGGTTAAGAAACGCGTCCTTACTTTCTGGCGTACATGAGCAGGCCGAAGCTGACCAGGATCACCAGCAGATAGACATTCGTGGCCTCGTTCCACGCTTCGTGCACAGAGTAGTCTATGGAGTCGGGCTCGTTTCCCAAAACTCCGTGAGCGCCCATGGAAAATGCGGAAACTGCCACCAAACTACACGGAGAAACATCCAATTTTGAAGCAAAATCCTCTAAATTAGCCCCGTTAGCCTACACGTCCTCGCGAATCAACTGTGTAGTGTAAACACGATTACGTCACATCCGTTCTCTTTTCTTCGTTGCTCCTCTTCCGGTTTAGACGTACTTCTGCCCCCTACAGTCCCAAATCTTATCAACCCAGTAAAAAAAAAAAAAAAATCAATTCTGAAATTAATTCATCGATGCAGGTTTGATTGGAGAATTAAATTAATTATTACAGCACAAAATGTTTTATTTTAATCTGTGTTGTTTTTTGGGTCCTTTCCTGTTATTTGTCCTTCCTGAAGGGAACTTTACAAGCGTGTATTTGTTTTTACTTGTAAGATAAGATAAGACTTTATTGATCCCACAACGGGGAAATTTTTGCGTCACCTCAGCTCAGGTACAGATATGAAGGAAATACAGAAATACAATTAAGTACAATCAATGAAAAATAGTAAGATAATA